ATTTCCATACACAATATTTTCACCCCTCATCAGACCATTCTCCACTCACTATCTGCACCATTCATTACCTTATTATCTTCCACATAGAACTAAATTCTCCATGCTCTATTTTTTCCCTACAATACAAAAATCTATAATTTGTCTTACACCTAAGACCCAAATTAGTACCCCTGTTTTTAAATTGTATAGAAACAGAAGGGAACAATATATACATATACATTTGAGTCTGGATCCTTTCCCTCCTCATCATACTTGCATAATGTATCCATGCTGTATGTGGCTTTAGTTTGCTCATCTTTGGTATATGTATATCATTGCATGAATAACTTTTCTTCATTGGATTATACTTTTCTGAGCATTTGATTGCTTTCAGTCTAGGATACTTAAATATATAATGTTCTGGACATTCAATTACATGTTTTGTTCAATATGGACACATTTCTGTTTGGTGAATGCTTGAGAGTTAGACTGCTAGGGCTTAGTTGCCAATTTTTTATGTTTGTAGAACTTTATTAAAAATAACTTGTTTATTTATTTTTAATTGCTTAAAATATTACAAAGAGTAGTACATTTGTCTCCTTTTTTTCCCCCTTGACCTTCTCCCAGCCTCCCCTACCCCCCCCCAGTGTCTTGTGTCCATTGGTTATGCTTATATGCATGCATACAAGTCCTTTGGTTGATCTCTTACCGCGCCCCCCCAGCAACCATCCCCAGCCTTCCTGCTTTAGTTTGACATTCTGTTTAATGCTGCTCTGCCTCTGAAAGGATATATGCATCCCTATGTTCATAGCAGCACAATTTACCATAGCTAAGATTTGGAAACAACCTAAGTGCCCATCAACAGATGAATGGATTAGAAAACTGTGGTACATATACACAATGGAATACTATGCTGCTGTAAAAAAGAAGGAATTTTTACCATTTGCAACAGCATGGATGGAACTGGACAGCATTATGCTAAGTGAAAATAAGCCAGTCAGTGAAAGAAAAATACCACATGATCTCACTCATTTATGGATAATAAAGACCATTATAAAATGATGAGCAAAAATTAGTTGCCATTTTTTACCTTAACCCCCCCACCCCCAGAACTAAATCTTTCATACTTTTACTTTCTAATTCAATCATATGTTACTGCACACCTAACTTAAAGCTCTTCTCTACACTCTCTGCCATTATTTCCAAGGCCTAGGTATTGTTTTTCATATACACATTGATTTATATATCTTCACGCTATTTAATTCATCACTCACATTTTACAAATACACTTATTGCACTAGACCAGGGGTGGGCAAACTTTTTGACTCGAGGGCCACAATGGGTTCTTAAACTGGACCGGAGGGCCAGAACAAAAGCATGAATGGAGTGTTTGTGTGAACTAATATAAATTCAAAGTAAACATCATTACATAAAAGGGTACGGTCTTTTTTTTTTTTTTTTTTATTTATTTCAAAAGGGCCGGATCCGGCCCGTGGGCCGTAGTTTGCCCACGGCTGCACTAGACTCATAGAGAATATTCTCTGTAATAACACAGCATATCTAAACCACATGGTATATACAACACTCCCACAAATCCACAATAAAGGAAATGCAATCTACATACATAAATATGTGCTGAACACACAGACACACAAAAAAACATAAAACCCAATAAACACACAAAACTCACCCCATATTCATGTGCAAAACAACTTCAATCACAACTGAAACATTAATTCATTTTAACAACACATTATAAACTTGAACACCAAACACAATACATAAAACTAACTGTACTGCTATAAATGCAAATAATACATATGCTACACACATGCAAGAGACATAATGATAATCTTAAACAGTAAAAAAATGAGCAGTAGCCTTGGTTAAGATTGAAATAGGGAAAGTGTCATAATAAAATAGGTAATTTATTCAAAAATAAAAAAATATTTTTCCATGTATAACACATACATTCTATATATATAAAAGCCTAAGCGAACTATTTGAACTTTTGACCATTCTGCCGGTAGCTATGACATGCACTGACCACCAGGGGGCAGACACTCAAGGCACAGGCATGGAAACATGGAACAGACTGATGAACCTCAGAGAGAAGAGGAGAGGGGGAAGGAGAGAAGAGATTAACCAAAGATCTTATATGCATACTAGAGGCCCAGTGCACGGATTCATGCACTGATGGGGTCCCTTGGCCTGGCCTGCAGGGATCAGGCAGAAACTGGCCCCCTGCTCCAATTCTTTTTAAATATATTTTATTGATTTTTTACAGAGAGTAAGGGAGGGGGATAGAGAGTTAGAAACTTCGATGAGAGAGAAACGTCGATCAGCTGCCTCCTGCACACCCCCCACTGGAGATATGCCTGCAACCAAGGTACATGCCCTTGACCGGAATCGAACCTGGGACCCTTTAGTCCGCAGACCAATGCTCTATCCACTGAGCCAAACCGGTTAGGGGCAATTCTTGCACCAGGGCATCCCTCGGCCTGGTCTACAGGGACCAGGCCAAAACTGCCAATCCTAACATCGCCCAAGGGGTCCCAGATTGTGAGAGGGTGCAGGCCAGGCTGAGGGACCTCACCAGTGCATGAATCTGTGCACTGGGCCTCTAATATATGCATGCTACTATATGTATATAAATCAACTTAGAAATTAATATATTAATATAAACACACATGCAGAATGCTTATTAATATATTAATATAAACACACATGCAGAATGCTTTCATTTTATGAAAACTTGCACCACATAGTCCATAATTATACAATATTTCATGAGGAAATCGAGTTAATATCCTGCATACAGTCTTTCAGCATGATTCTAAGTTTCTTATAATCTGTGTAGATCTCAAGAAATATCACAAGTAACATACCCAATCCCACTGACATCCTACAAATATACCATTTTAATAAGTTTTTATGTATAATTTGGAGTAAAATGGAATTTTAAATGGGAATAAACAACTTAATTTCTATGAGGACAAGTGTCATGGGTGGTAATGATGACTGGCATGTAATGTCAACTCAACATGTGGTTTTGGAATTGACACAGACCCCTGAAAATGCCTCATCTCAATGTTCTTTTTTATTCCATTGCCCAGGAGCCAGCAATCCTCAAGAGACTGCTCCTCAACCCCAGGCAACTGTGGAGGCCCCAGCCTGCAGTCAGGCAGCAGGAGCAAAGTCATCTTCTTCTTCTGAATATTTCACCTGTGTCTCCTCTCAAGCCAAGCGTCCCCGTCCTGATGAGGATGGTAAGGAACATACAAAGGTGGGATCTGAGTTTGGACAAGAGGTGCAGCTGAGCTGCTCAGCACAGTCTCTATTTTGCGCACATTCCCTTCAAAAACAGGAGAGGGCTTTGGGGCAGATAGATTAGTAATAAGGCTTCTGAAGAGACACTAGTCAAGAGTGTGCCACCAAGGACAGGCCAATGTCCCTCAGCACAAAATTCCAACATAGAAGCACTGGCCAATTGTGGGTGAGCTAATGGACAGTGCCGATGTGTGTGGGGGAGTTCACACATAGCCTTCCCCCCAGAATAGCACAAACACCTGTCCTCACACACTCACACATTTGTACTCCTTCTTACCACAAATGGCCCCATTTCTCCTTCTTTCCACTTTTTCTCTCAAATACACAGGCCTTCATTCCCCATCTATTATTCCCATTCTCTAGTAGCATTACCTAGGTAGCCTTTATTCCTTCACATAATTGTTTTCAGACTCACCCACTTACACATTCATTCCATAAATAACTCACTTCCCTTCACCCGGATATCATCTTCAAGTTAAATTCTAGAAAACTCATATGCTCTAAAGGAAATAAATTTTTATCTGTTGTCTTTCTCATCCATATGACACTTAAGCCACCACGCCTTCAGATCTTCATGGAGCCGAACATTCTGATAGCTCATACACACCTCCCGCAACACTCCTAGTCTCACTGTCTCATAGTAAGAACAGGTATTTCTCCTACACTGTTCACATGTGCTGTCACACCACATAACCTACATGCACATACTTATCCGCCATCATTTTAGCAATATCCCAGACACTCACCCGATAGGACCCAGAACATACATACAACTCCTCTAGAACATGAATACAAAGCTCCATCCTCATTCCCATATAGTTGTACCATGGAAAGACCTCAAATAAAGTATACCACACAGAGAATTCTGAAATCTCTCACATAGATGTACTTTCAGGCCACATGCTCATGTAGGGCATGCCCATCTTAACAGCCTTGACACACATAGTCTTGTTTCCTCATGTTTGAAAATTCATTTTCTAGGAACCTACCAATTACATGGGAATGTCAACAGTCTTGGATCTCTTGAGATGCTTGTACCCCGGCCTATAAAGAAAAGACGGCAAAGGGAGGGGCACAGAGGAGGTTTGTATGGCGATGCCTGGAAGTGGCTCCTGTCATTTCTATTCATTTTCCATTGCAGCAATGTAGTCTCATGGTCAGAACTACCTTCCAGGGAAGCTGATAAATATAATATAGTTGTATGTCCAGACAGAAAAGAGGCAGCAGTCTCTATTCTATTCACTTAGTGCAAATCCAGCCACCCATGATAGTTATTGACATAATAAATATGACTGTGTATTTAAAAATTTCACTGGAACTATATTACATTATCTATGAAGATGTAAGCCATATTCACTGAGCATCTTTCATAGGAGACTGTTATTGCTTATTTGACAGATAAATACATAGATAAAAAACATGACCATGTCTCTACTATTTTTCAGCAAAGTTGAGTTTATGACAAGATTCTTGAAGCATAGACACTAGGCAGTGACCCTAACTCAAGGCCAGAATGAATGGGAGGGTTCTTCTTCCTCAGACGAGGTATCCTACATTTCTTCTAAGAACAAGACCCCAACACAGTCTTATATTTCCTCCCCAATATTTTCACATTCAAGTTCATTCCTCAGTAGACCCTTCTGCACTCACTATCCTCATCATTCATTTCCTTATTATCATTCACATAGAACTAAATTCCCCATGCTCTATTTTGTCTTTACCATACAAAAATCGATCATTTGTCTTACCTACAACCCAAATTAGTATCCTTGTTTTTAAATTGTATGGAAGTAGAAGGGAGTATATGCATATATATGCATATATATTTTGAGTCTGGTTCCTGTCACTCATCATATGTGTGTAATTTATCCATGTTGTATGTGACTTTAGTTTGCTCATTCTTGGAATATGTATATCATTGCATTAATATATTTTCTTCATTGATTATACTTTTCTGAGCATTTGAGTTGCTTTCAGTCTAGGGTACTTGAATAGATGATGTCCTGGACATCCTATTGTACATGTATTATTCAATATGGACACAATTGTATTTGGTGAATGTTTAGAGTTAGACTGCTAAGCCTTAATTGTCATATTCCATCTTAACCCCCTCAGAACTCAATTTTTCATACTTTACTTTCTAATATAATCACGTGTTACTGCACACCTACCTTACACACTCTTCTCTGCCATTATATTCAAGGCCCAGGTATTGTTTTTCTTATATATTTTGGTTTATACATCCTCACACTAATTAATTAATCAGTCACATTTTACAAATACACTAATTGTACTAGCTTCATAGAGAATATTCTCATTAATAACAAAACATATCTAAATCACATAGTATATAAAATAGTCACAAATCCACAATTGTAGGAAATCCAATATACACACAGAAATACAGACACAAAGTAACCCATACCATCCTCAGTCACACAAACCTCATCCTATATGCAAAGGCACAAACACCAGTTCAATCACATATTAAACTAATTTAGTTTTAATCAACACATTATAAACTTAAATACCAAGCACATTACATTTAATGTTCCATGCTGCTAAAATTGTAAATAATACATATACCACACACATTCATGAGACATGATGGTAATCTTAAACAGTAAAATAATCTGCAGTGAACTTGTTTAAGATTAAAACTGGGACAGTGACATAATAAAAATGCATAGCTAATTTCTTCAAAAATAAAAAGAATATTTTCCATGTATAATAATGATATATATATATATACAAATCAATTTAGATATAAATATATGTGCAGAATGCTTAATAAAACTTGCACCACATAGCTCCTAATTGTACAATTTTGTCATAAGGAAATGAAGTTGATATTCCACTTTTAGTTCGTACATTCGGTCTTTCTGGCATGATTCTAAGTTTTTAATAATCTGTATAGATCTCCAGAAATATCACAAGCAAGATACCCAATTCCGCTGACACCCACCAAACACACCATTTCTATAAGTGCTCACTTATGGGAGTAAATGGAATTTTAAGTGGAAAAATCAACTAAATTGCTAGGTGAACAAGTGTCAATGGTGGTAATGATGCCTGACATGTCCAACAAAATGTTGTTTTAGATTTTCACAGACCTCAGACAATGCCTCATCTCAATGCTCTTTTTTATTCCATTGCCCAGGACCCTGTAACACCCAAGGGGATGCCCCTCAGCATGAGTCACCAGTGGAGGCCCCAGCCTGTGTTCAGGAAGCAGGAGGAGATCCCTCCCCCTCTGAATATTTTACCTGCGTGTCCTCCCCATCCAAGCTTCCCCATTCTGATGTGAATGGTAAGGAATATGCAATGTTGTAACCTGAGCCTGGTCAATAGATGCAGCTGATCTACTCAACCCAGTCTCCACTTAGTTCGAAAATAGAAAATGGCTTTTGGACAGACTAAGGTTTCTGCAAAGGACCAAGTCAGGAGTGTGCCTTCATGGACAGGCTACGGTCCCTCAGCACAATTTCCATCTGAGAAACATTAGGGCAGCTGTGGCTAAGGCAGTGGATGGTGCTGAGGTGTGCATGGGGGTTTACTCCCAGGCCTCAGATGAGTACAAACTCCGATCCACATATGTACTCATTCATGCCAGGTACGGCTCCGTTTCTCCTTCTTTTCACTTATTCTCTCAAATACACACACTTTTTCCTCCATCTATCATTCCCATTCTCTAGTAGCATTACCTAGGTATACCCTGCCATTCATTAGTTCACACCATTATTTTCAGACTCACCCACTTACACATTAATTCCATAAATAATTCACGTCCCTTCACACATCGTTAGGTCAAACTCTAGAAAACTTATATGCCCTGAAGGAAATAAATTTTCATCTGTTGTCTTTCTAATCCATTTGCCACTTAAGCCACAGGCCTTCAGACCTTCACAGAGTTGAACATTGTGAGAGCTCATACACACCTCCTCTAACTCTCAGTCTCAGTGGCTCATGGTAAGAACAGGTACCACACCGGCACTTGTTCACATGGGCTGTGACACCACAAAGCAAACATGTGTACATTCATTCATTCATCCCCTTTTACCAACATCAATAATCCTCACCAGGCATATCCCAGAACATACATCAGATTCCCCAAGAACTTGTATACAAAGCTACATCCTCATTTCCATATAGTTATACTATGTAAGCACTTCAAATAATGCATTCCACCCACAGAATTCTGAAATATCACATACATGTAGATAGACTTTCACTCCACATGCTCACATAGTGTATGGCCATCTTAACATCTCCAGACTTCTCACACTTATTTTAGTTTTCTTATGTCTGCAATTTTCTTTCCTACAAACATATCACTTACATAAAAATGTTTTCTCTCTTGGAATCCTTGACAAGACTATGTCCAAGTCATCTGGGAAACTGAAGAACATGGAGGGCCAGTTCTGAAGTGTGTATGGTGATGCCTGGAAGTGGCACATGTCATTTCCATTGAAGAAATATAATCTCATGGTCAGAACTACCTGCAAGGGAAGCTGATACATATAATATAGTTGTATGTCCAGGTAGAAAGGAGACAGCAGTCTCTGTTCTATTCACAAAGAACCTTTCTTTTGCAAACCCAGTCACCCATGATGTTTATTAACACAACAATTATTACTGCACATTTAAATGTTTCATTGGAACCATGTTACACTATCCATGAAGATGGAGGTTGTGTTCACTGAACATGTTACATAGTAGACTCTTATTTGCACTTACATGAGAGATAAATACACAGATAACAAACACGGGACACGTCTCCATTATTTTTACATTTTTGGCAAAGTTGAATTAATGAGAAGATGCTTTGCAGCACAGAAATAAGTCTGTGGCCCTAACTCAAGGCCAGAAAACATGGGAGGGTTTTCTTCCTCCGATAACTTATCCTGCATCTCTTCTAAAGACATGCTAACTGGTGCTGTAAGGATGGCCTATTCAGTAGGATGCAAAGGGAAGTTGGGTAAGGAAAAAACCGAGATGATCTCAGTAATTCTGCCCATTTGTGAACAACAAGGCTGACCAGTACAAAAATGAAATCAAATTATTCTGTATCTTCTTTAATGTGATCAGCAGTGGAAATAATAAATTCCAATTCCAAAAAAAAACCACTTAAAAAGACTAGAGCAAGCCCAAGAACTGTGCTATTTCAGGAAATAGTGGGACAGGGACTAAGGGGATGAGAGTTTTATCAAAGAAGCATGGAAGAATATGGGATGAACCAGACATGGGCATGTTATATTGCCTGGGAGGTGTAAAAGCACTAACAACTTAAAACAGGCTAAATGAGGAAGGATCCTCAAGAACTAAACTTGAGATGGAGGACAGAGATATCCAGTTGAAGAACCCATCATGCCCATCTATTTTCATAGCCAATATTTTCACATTCACATTCATCCCTCCTCAGACTCTGCACTCACTCTCCCCATCATTCATTTCCTTATAATCTTCCACATACATCTAAATTTGCCATGCTCTATTTTTGTCCATATCATACCAAGAGTTATACTTTCTTTGACTCCTAAGACCCTATATTAGTATACCTGATTTTAAACCTTATGGAATTAGAAGAGTACAATACATATATCTAGTGCCTTTCACTCACCACTGTATTTGTGTAATTCATCCATGTTGTATGTGACTTTAGTTTTGTTCATTCTTGGCATTTGTTTATCATTGCATGAATATTATTTCTTCATCAATTATAATTTTCTGAGCACTTGGGTTGAATATAGTGTGGGACTACTTGAAAAGGTGATGTTCTGGACAATCTGTTACATGTATTTTTCAATATGGACAAATTTCTGTTTGGCGAATGATTAAGAGTTAGACTCCTGGGCCTTAGTTACCATATTCTATCTTAACCCCTTCAGAACTCAATCTTTCGCACTTTTCCTTTTTAATGCAATCATGTGTTACTGTCCACCTAATCTTACACACTCTTCTCAGTACTCTGCCATTTTTTTTCAAAGCCCAGAGATGCTTTCTCTTCTACTCCCTGATTTTCACATCTTCTTGTTATTTAATTATTCCCTCACATTTTGCAAATGCACTAATTTCAATAGTCTCAAAGATAATATTTTCAGTAACAACATTCCACTCTGAAGCACATAGCATTTATAACATACACAAGTCCACATTTATAGGAAATGCAAGTCCATACTTATTGGAAATGCAATCTACACACATAAATAGGTGATAAACTAACACAAAGACACAAAGCACGCATACCAATCCTCAGCCACATATTCAGATTTGCAAACACCAAATAAATCATGCATTTAACCTTAATGCAGTTTTAACCAACAGATTATAAACTTGAACACTAGGTACCATACCATACTGCTACAGATGTGAATAGTACATATACCATACACATTCATGAGGCATGATGATACTCTTAAAAAGTTAAATAATAAGCAGTGAGCTTGGTTAACTCTGAAATAGTGACAGTGACATAATAATCCTATATAATAAAGAGGTAATATGCAAATTAACCCTCACACCATAAAACCGTCACAAGATGGCGGTACGCACAGCCGGGGTACCCTCAGCCCTGCCGGGGGGCAGGTCCCTGCTGCTGCTCCCCATGGCTTCCCCGGAGTTCCCTCAGCCCCACCAGGGGGTGGGTCCTGGCTGCTGCTCTGCGCAGCTTCCACTGGGGTAATCAGTCTGGCAGGGGAGGGCAGTTGGGGGCGACCAGGCCGGCAGGGGAGGGCAGTTGGGGGTGATCAGGCCAGCAGGGGAGCAGTTAGGCATCAATCAGGCCAGCAGGGGAGAGGTTAGGGGGTGATCAGGCTGGCAGACAGAAGCAGTTAGGGACCATCAGGCAAGCAGGCAGGCAGGCAGGCAGGTGAGCAGTTGGGAGCCAGCAGTCCCGGATTGTGAGAGGGATGTCCGACTGCCAGTTTAGGTGGGGGATCAGGCCTAAACCGGCAGTCGGACATCCCCCGAGGGGTCCCAGATTGGAGAGGGTGCAGGCTGGGCTGAGGGACATCCCTCCAGTGCATGAATTTCATGTACCAGGCCTCTAATAATGAATAATATCTTAAAAAATAAAAATTTATCATTTTCCATATTTATCTGTATATCTACATCAGTATAGATAGCAATATATATAGATATAGGTGCTGAATGCTTCAAGAACTCACATCACATATCCCCTTACTGTACAATTTTTCAGTTCCTGCATACTATCTTTCAGTCATGGTTCAATTTTTGATAATCTGTATAGATCTCCAGAAATACCACATGCAACATACTCAATTCCACTAACATCCACCAAACACACAATTTAGTAAGTGTTTACTTATAGTTTGGAGTAAATGGAATTTTAAATGGGAAAGTCACTTTAATTTCTATGAGAATAATTGTCATGTGTGGTAATGATACCGGACATATAATGGTCCACTCTACATGTAGGTTTTGAATTGGCACAGACCCCAGAAAATGCCTCATCTCAATATTCTTTTTTATTCCATTATCCAGGACCCTACAACACCCAAGAGGATGTGCCTCAGCGTCAGTCACCTGTGGAGTCCTCAGCCTGTAGTCAGGCAGCAGGAGTAAACTCCTTTACATCCGAATATTCCAGCTTTCTATGTTCTTCATCCAAGCAGTCCAGCCCTGATGAGGATGGTAAGGAATATGCAAAGATGGGATCTGAGCTTGGTCAAGTGATGAAGCTCAGCTGCTCAGCCTACTTGCTACTTAGTTTACTTTCTCCTAAAAAACAGAAAAGGGCTTCAGGGCAGAAAGACTAATACTAAGGCTTCTGCAGAGGGACAAGCAGGGAGTGTGCCTTCAAGGACAGGGCAAGGTGGCTCAGCACAAATTTCCAACATAGCAGCCCTGGGACAGCTGTGGCTGAGGTAGAGGACAGTGCTGACATGTGCATGGGAGTTTACTCAGAACCTTCCCCTCAGATGAGCACAAACTCAGGTCCTCACACTCTCACACATCTGTCCTCTATATCAGGTAAGGTTCCATTTCTCCTTCTTTTCCCCTGTTCTCTCATACACACAGGCCTTCCCCCTCATCTTTTTTCCCATTCTCTAGCAGCGTTACCTAGATACACTCTTGCCTTCATTCCTTCACACAATATTTTCCAGACTCACCCATTTACACATTAATTTCATAAAAACAATTCACATCTCTTCACAGAGATAACCCCACATGCCCTGAAGGAAATGAACTTCCATCTGTTTTCTCTCTAATCCATATGGCACTTCAGCCACCAGCCTTCAGACCTTCATAGAGCGGAATATTCTGAGAACCCATGCACACATCCTCTAATACCCCCGCGCTCAAAATGTCATAGTAAGAACAGGTATTACTCCTGCACTTGTTTACATGCTCTCATACCACATAACAAACATACACAACCTCATTCAACATCCCCTTTTACCACAATCAAAAACATTCCCAGATATGTCCCAGAATATACATACCACTCCATAAGAATGTGCATATGATATATCCTCATTCCCACCTTGTTACACAATGTAAATACATCAGATAAAGCATACTACACACAGAATTCTGAAATATCATATATAGATGTACTTTTATTTCACAGGCTCATGTAGGTCATGTCTATCTTAATTCCTACAGCCCTTACACACATATTCTACTTTTCTTATGTTTGAAATATTTTTTCCAGGAATCCTGGAGATACATGTATCCCAGAACTTGAAGCAAAAGGAGAATTCCTTTGACACTTCACATACCCACATCCCTTCCCATTCGGTTAATAATAACGAGCCTTGTACATCCTTAGTGCAAGGGACAGATCTGAGGCTCAGGACAATTTACTATACACGTGTACAATTAAAAAGGGGTGTGGCTGTCTTATGCCATACACAGGAAAGATTGGAGCCTCCCTCAAAAAAGATCAAAATGGAAGAAATGACCTATATTGAAAAGATCCGTGAAAATGTCCCCATCACTCACGTGTCTGAGAACAAACCCCTAATTGACCATGAGCACAACTTAGAGAGCAGAGCCCAGGAGAAAAGGGAGGAGGCTGACAGTCCAGCACAGCCTCCAGTTCTGGACAGGTATCCCAGTGCTAAGACGCCTGAGTGGCTGGTGGCCCTAGACAGTGGGTTCAGGTGCATGGCCTGCTGCCGGGTCTTCCCCAGCTTAGAAGTCCTTCAGGAGCATGTGGAGTGTGGGGTCAGGGAGGGCTTCAGCTGCCATGCTTTCCATAATGCCATGGCTCGTCTAAAGCACAAAGATCTTAAAGAGGATGAACAAGAGAACCAAGGAGGCAACCTGTAGCTGCCAGATGGAAAACATTTTGCCATGAAGATAACCTTGTACAACTAAACAGACTGTTTTTCTGCCTCTAAAAGACAGAAAGTGAAGCAGGTTAGACTCCACTGAGGAGGCTTCATTCTCTTCAAGCAGACATAGTATCCAACCTTTATACTCATATCTACCACCACCATCTCTACACCCCTACCACCTATCTCAGCAGACAGCCCCTTTTAATGCCATCCACCACTTTCCTGAGGGACAAGAAGGCAGACCACACCATCCCAGATACTGCCTTTCCCTCTATCCAACTTATATACCTGCATATACCACCCACAAATACATGCTTTGATATTGTTTACACTAGAGGCCTGGTGTATGAAATTTGTGCACTGGGGGGAGGGGTTGTCCCTCAGCCCAGCCTGCACCCTCTCCAATCTGGGACCCCTCGGGGGATGTCCGACTGCCGGTTTAGGCCTGATCCCACACCTAAACTGGCAGTCGGACATCCATCTCACAATCCGGGACTGCTGGCTCCCAACTGCTCACCTGCCTGCCTGATTGCCCCTAACCACTCCCCTGCCAGCCTGATCAACACCTAAATGCTCCCCTGCTGGCCTGGTCCCCCAAAAACTGCCCTCCCCTGCCAGCCTGGTCACCCCCAACTGCCCTCCCCTGCTGGCCTGGTCACCCCCAATTGCCCTCCTCGGCAGGCCTGGTGCCCTCAAAATTGCCCTCCCCCATCAGCCTGGTCACCCCAACTGCCCTCCCCTGCTGGCCTGATCTCCACAACTGCCCTCCCCTGCTGGCCTGATAGCCCCAACTGCCCTCCCCTGCCAGCCATCTTGTGTTGGCCACCTTGTGACCACATGGAGGTGGCCCTCTTGTGCGAGGGCGTGACGGTCAACATATTACCTCTTTATTATATAGGATAAGAGTGTAAACAATACAGAATTTTTATAGTACAGATTGCAATACCCCTTCCTTGGACTCACCCCTCACATTTCCATGAAAGTGATCTTTGTTAACAATTTTACATATTTTTCTATATCCTTTTCTTTAAATGAAGATATACCTTTTCCAACATCTCCTTCTAATGTATCAACCTGCATAATCATTTGGCTGGAAGACAGATATACTTATTATTGAGAAAGAAAAAGGTACTGTATAGATAAAACCAAAAGCAACTATACTCCACATGTTACCTCACATGAACTTGTGGACACACAGGTGCATATACACTTCTTATTCATACATATCCATGGGAAAGGATGGAGCACAAAATGAATACTTTCAAGATACTTTAATATGTATACATACAGGTGTCCAAACATGTCATAGTGAGCATTTAAGCTTAATAACTTTAGAAGGTAAAAGCTACTAACTTTTGAAAAAAGCAATTTGCATGTTTAATTACTTGCAAGCATTTATACTTTTTTAACTTTGTACATCATCAAAGGTAAATTGTACTTTTTGTTCCTCTGCCACCTTCAAAGGCTCAGATACAAAAATGAAAATTAAAAGAATTACAATTCAAAAAACTCTCCTGGAGAAGGGACATTAAATAATCCCACTTTTAAATGATGATCTTTATAATTTATAGCTTGTATGCTTCTGAAATTATTAAAGCTTAAAACTGCACTATGACATTTTGGACACTTGTATATATCCATAGATTATCTTGAAACTGTTCATTTTGTGCTCCATCCTTCCCCATGAAAATGCATGTATAAGAGTACATGCACCTGTGTGTCCGCAACTTCATCAAAGCTAAAAGATGAATTACAGTTGCTGTTGGTTTCATCTGAGTATATTTTATTTCTTCCTTTGGAAAGAGGATCTGTTTTCTGGCCAAATATGTGGAAAAATCAGACTAGCTAAATGAAGTTATTACTTCTCTACCTTCCTTTAATCATCTGACATAGTTACCCTGGGGAAACATCTATTCATAATCAATCCGTACTGATACATTGGAACATTAAAACAGAAAAAAAAACAAAACAGATTATGGGTTGTCATGGTGGTGAGTTATCCTTTGTCTGCAACTCAAATTAAGGTTTTTCCACTGCTCGACTTGCCTCTCTTTTTAAAGATCGGGCTGTTTTAAGTGTGACCTTAAGACACTAAGCCTTCATACTAACTCTTCAATACATTATTGTGTTGTTTTTTCCCCCTCAATTCGCCTGAGCCATTTGCTGTTGTGTGTAACATTATGTGCCTTATTGAGGCAAATTAGTTGCCACATGATAATTTCTTTCATTCTAATAGCTGAAATGATATAACCTAGAAAGAAGTGACACATATTATTCCTATGAGTTTATATTGAAACATAAGGGATATACTTGTAGTCAATATGAATAATATGTCCTTAATAAAGTGCATTAAAAGTGCTTGGGTGTGTAAACAAAAAGACTTCAATGAACAAATGGACTTCTATATAGTAGAACTGGATTTAAATTCCTCACTACTACTTACCAGCTTTTTATACTTTGTGAGTCAATACTCTCATCTTAAAAATGGAGATCATGATACCTGAAATAACACTCATTGTGAGGGTAAGAAGACACATGTAAAGACACCTAATACAGCATCTGGTATAGGCACTCAAAACATTTTTTTTCATTAACTTTTGATATTTTTTTTTTACCTCTGGTTATCAGCAGTTTGATTATAAAGTATCTAGGTAGGATTAAGTTTAGTTTATATAGTTTGAGATTTGCTTAGCTTTATAAATTTTTAATTTTTGAAATAATTATAAACTCAAAGGAAGTTATAGAAATAGTCCAGAGAGGTCTCATGTACCCATCACTCAGCTTCTCTCAACAGAATTACAGTGTATTATCAAAACCAGGACATTGATTTGAACACCACAATAAACGTGACTACTGACCTTACTCAGATTTACAATGTTTTCATGCATGCCTATTTGTACTTTAATGTATAATTAGGACATTTTATCACTTGTGTAGATTTTTATACTCATCACTGCAATGAAGATACCGGAGCTGTGTCACCACAGCAATTTTCTCATTTATAATCACAACCATCATCCCTTTCTAATACTTGGCCTATCTTCTTTTGTGAATTGTTTAAAAATACAACAAACTGAGAAAAAAGTAACTTTACTCATATCAGAGATGAAGGCTAATTTCCTTAATATACAAAAAGCTCCATGAAAATAATAACTCCAAAAAACCCCACTAAAAATTGATAAACAATATTGAATAGTTTCACTTAAAACTACATATATTTAACATATGTAGAGGTATATAATGGCACTCATCAGAGTTATAACTATGTTTTTATAAGGTTGTGTTGAAAATTATGTAGGACAATGGAAACCTTATTATTGATGGAAATATAACTTAATACAACTTCAATAGAGACAAAAATGCCAATGTGAAAAATTTTAAATGTATATATTCTATTCTCAGCTTCAATTTAAAAAGTATTTTTATATTTGAATTAATAAAGATACACACACACACACACACACACACACACACACACACACACACACATCCCTGTATTATAAAAGGCCTGTGGCCCTAACGCTGTAATGACCAAAGACCAGCGCAGGTGGGCGGGGCTGTGAGCATGTGGATTGGGGGTGAGGGCAGTGGCAGGGGCTGAGGCAGAGGCCTGAAGCCACTGCAGCGATGGGGTGCTGAGGCAGCCATGGCAGTGGCAGGGGCCAAGCCCCTTGCACAAATTTCATGCATTGGGCCTCTAAAACACACACACACACACACACACACACAGCATGTGTATTGTGGCATTTTGTAACAAATATTTTATAGCAAAACATTGGAAACAAGCAAATTATTCATCATCAGATGACTTGCAAAATATATTTACAGAATGGAATACTAAAAAGATATTTTTAAAAATACAGGAAAAGCTCCAAATATATTTTAAGGTGAAAATCTTGTATATACTGTATTCCCATTTGTTTAAATATTTTCAGCAAACCTAGAATCTATGTATTTATCTATCTTGATTCATTCTTTAAAGACTCTGCTCACTGGATTGCAAGTTTTAAAAGGCCCACAATAAATGTGGAGGCTTGGATATCTGAACCTCTGTTTATGTGATGTTAATTAGCCCTCGACTCTAGCCTAAATATTTATTAGTTTTCTAACCTTTGGTTAGATTGCTACCATTAAACATCCTCTGATTATTGTATTGATGTGATGATAATATGGGCTGACTGTATTGTTTTCCAGTACATTTATTTTAAGTTGTGAATGTTAATGCCCAGTTGCTATTAAGATAAAATTTCTCTCTCATTTTAAAATAAAAATGTGCTACCACATAAATCAAAATAGATTCTGTTTTGGCAAAATTAGATTTGGATTTGAAGCACAATTTTTTTTTCAATGATGATAATTAGCAACAAGCAAATCAATATTTGAAAGAGATACTTGCACAAATCAAAATATTTAACAAATGGGTCTATGAATTAGATCACTTCACTGTTGTAAATATTTGGCAAATAAAATTTTTTTTAAATAGACACTAAGAAATAAATGAAAGGTGAACCCAGAGTGTTTTTCAATTTAATATGTTCTACTCTTCATTTGAGCTTTTATGTTAGTAAAATGGAACTTAAATCACATTAATTTATATACTAATCAATGACAAGATTTGTTATTATTTCCATTTATTAATAAAAGAAATTAAATGCAGTATCATAGACACTGATTAAAAGTATTTTATGAAATGACTTCATGCATGGCATTTGTGTTAATTCAAAATAAGAGAAGGCAGTGTCAAAGCACAATACCTATTTAGTCTTATATTTTAGAAGCTATTGTTATAGTTGTTTGAAGAAATAACATATGTGGGATTTAATTATAGATGTCTTATTTGGAGGGTTAGACATGTATAACTGCCCTGTGTGAGTTCCTAGGGAAATTCTTGTTCAAATAGATGAAGCTAGGGTAGATCTCCTGCCTGTTCTCTTCATAAATGGAGCTATATGTAGTATAGCTCCCATTGAAGGAGTTGCCTTCATTATTTAT